ATAATATAAAATGTATATATATTCATTCCATAGTCAAAATAATAATAAATAGCTATTAAAATTGCTTACTGGCTCCATATGTGACTAGTTCTTGGAAACTTATATCACAAATATTAAATACTAAATATAGCTAAGGATCTTGTAAAAAGAAATCTGAGTTTAATTTGGCCAGAACATCAAAGTCCCCAAAGGCTTCTTAGCACCGGAGTGCATGCTGGTCTGTCACTACATTATAGAATCTACTGTCCACATATCCAGCAAGCAAATTCTGCTTTGTGGAGTTACTCACTATAAAACCCTATATTGCAATTAGTAAGTAATCATCAACTATGTAAGTATCAAATTTACTATCTTGCATCCTATTTGTATGCTTTGATATTAAATCAGTGATTCTGTCTAAATAATTCATACCTCACTGCATGAGAAAAAGTACCCACAGACTATCTGCTGAGACTCACATTTTAATAAATATAAAATCGAAGTCTCATGCTTTTCCACTTAACTTTGCAATGATTTTTTTTTTCCTTAGAGAGCATCTGGGGTTTTGTGAATTGGTGAAATAAATATTAATTACTGATATGTTTCCTAATATTTTCTACTTGAAGGATCTACCAGTAGCACTGTGGCAGTCTCCACATGGTCTTCATTTTCTGGAGTTTGTGAAAAGAATCTTAGGGTAAAAGAGACAGCAATGATGTCACTGGCATCTTTCTGGACAGATTATTCAACAGGAAATGTTTCATTTGAAGAAACAGTGTCCTGGGGGAAATCAGGGTTAATTTCAGAATACCCTGGGGTTCAGCCCAGCCCCCCCAACTATAGCTTCTACGTTCTTGGGCTGATTACTTGAGCTCACAAGTTTGTTCACCTGCTAGACGAGAGGAGAGTAGTATCTACTTTGTGATCTGTACTGAGGGGACACATTTAAAGGCACATGTCAGACATTCAAAAAAATCCTGACTATTATTGAGGATGGACAAAGGGAAGAGGAGAACAAGCTGCCAGCCTGGGAGGAAGCCAGCTGAGTCTCCACCAAGAGGCTCTAGAGAAACGATAACCTCAATGAATTTACTCCCATCCAGGGGTGAAGTTGCCAAGCTGGAAGCTGAATAATGACTCATGCTATTCAAGCTCAGTCAGTAGTCAGCTGCTTTAAAGAGGAACATATTCATGTCTGGTGCTTGAAGTGATCCTATCTTTTTGTCAGGCACCACTTTTCTTATATTCAAATAAGATATGTTAGAGAGGACAGACTCGGAACAAAGAGAGAGGTGGGAGGGAAGTTTCTCCTGGGCCACTGAAGCCGATAACTCTTCTGGCCTGACTGCAGACCCCACCTCACTGATGTATAGAAGCCTGGCACCTGCCACAGCTGGGGGTCTCACTCCAGGGTAGCATCAGATGGATCATTTTGAAACCTGTGAGTTTTCCTTTCTCCTTTTCAAAGCTAGAAATCCACTCTCATTTTGTTTACACAAGCCTTGTCCAGAGGGGAAAAAGTTACAATGTTTGGGTTTCCACTTATAAAATTACTGTTACCTCCAGTTCTTTCTCTCCCAGATTACAGCAAGATTACCTTGGTGAAAGTTCTTCAATAGCCAATCTCATCATCTGTGTGAGAATTTTACCAGGGCAACCATAAAGAACTATCTGATTCCCTTGTTTTCAAGTCCTTGAAGGAATTATACTACTTTCCCATGCAATGCTAAGTTGTGTTGTCTGTTGTTGCTCTTAACTGGGTGGTTGGATAGTTGGCTAGGTGAATATATGGGTCTATTCATTGATGACTATATGGATGAATACTTGACTGGGTAGGTGGGTGGGTCTATGGGTGGGTGGATGGTATGGGTGGGTGGATGGTATGGGTGGTGGATGGATAGATGCATAAATCATTAATAAGTGGGTGAATGAACGCAAAAATGGACAGATACAACATGAATAGAATATTTTAACACTGTGCTGGATATCAGCAGTGAACGAGCCCTTGGCATCTTTTTTGGCACCCAGAATGAAGAAATGTGTATTATCTGACTGTTGATTCAAAGGATGTAAAAGCCAAGAACCACAGTGAGCTTGAATTCACTGAGGGTTTAGTTCATTTCAGTCTCTGACAAGGAATGAGTTGAGTGTACTCTGAGCCAGAGGCCCAGTTCTGTCCAGATTGACCTTGAACTCAGTTCTGGGAAGTGTTTTAAAGCCTCCCTCTCTGTTCAAAGAAGATACTAATCTCAGCATTCAACCCTCCTCCAGGAATGTTGTAAGGCAAGAGCAATAGCATATGGGATAGCAAACAACCTCCTACAAAGAAAGGTCCATGAGGATTTACATGATGAGCAGAGAAACAGGCACCAGTTTCAGTGTTCTGCTGCTTTTCTTCCTTTTAAATACATTTCTCTGGTTAAAGTTAATGGAAATGGATAAATATGCTAAGCAGATTTAGGTCATGCTGTTATTTGAAACCTGCAGTTGGCTTGCTGATGATTCACATTTTAAGGATTCATTTAGCACAATCCAGTCTTCTACAGAGTAACAGAAAAGATAACCATACAGATTTACTTTGTTTTAGAAAAAAATCCTGCTAATGCCAGCCCTCTGATCACTGCATTCTATATGTGCAATGTTGCGGCAACTTGAGGTGAGCAGGAGGCTCTCCTCAAAATGCCAGGAGTGTGGGAGGTGAAAGCAGCTCCTGGTTGGCCACCGGGATGAAGCACATTATTCCTGAGCCTGCAGAAAGCAACAGTCTGCAACCAGTGGGGCCCTTGGGACAGTGACAGAGCTTTCTCCTGGGCTGTAATCAATTACCATGCTCAAGTGTATTACGTTTTAAAGAAAAATAAATCAACATCTCTCTCTCTCTGTCTCTGTCTCTCTTTCTCTCCCCACCCCCTTCCCGTAATGGAGCCACAACCAACACAAATAATTTCAGTGCTGCCTTTGACCAACTGCTCATCCTAAAAGAACACCATGTAAGTACAAACAAAACAAATGAATAATCTAAATAACCCAGAATTGCTCTTTTACCAGAACAACCTGCTTTTATTTCCCTTTCTCCATATCCAGAAATAAAATGTGATTCTTTTACGTTTTAAAAAAGAGCACTATGCTTACTGTATTTACTGGCACCTCTGGGTACACACTCACACACCTATGCACTAAAGACCCAGCCCTGGACACTGCCTCACCCACCGTGTAGAAATCCTCATGCAATTTCTATATATAACCACCACACTTCCCAAGCACATACCACCCCCACCCCGGTCCACATGCACATTATAATCTTATCATGCTTGCAGAAACCGGAATGCTGTAACAATGCCCTGGATTTGAGAAATTCACAAGAAAAGCCAAGAGATGGTTTCCCGATTGAATGAAAAAGGGCTAGTTCAGCTGGCACAGTGCCTTCACGCCAGGGCAGGCTCTGCCCGGCTCTCTGGAGTGTGATCTGCATGTCTAATAATGGAACAGGTCCGCGGACCAGCCACTTACCTTGGAATGCTGCAGCAGGAGTATCTGCTCGTCAAGCTCTTGCCGCTTGCCTTCTATTTCAGTCTGCCTCTTTCTTTTTTCCTTGAAAATAAAGAGAGAGAGCTATAAGAGTGGGTGGGTGTTGGTTCCAGGAATTTTAAGACAGGAAGCAGCAGCAGCAACAGCAGCAGCAGCAGCACACATCTGCACAGACACTTCCAGAGATGCTGGGCACATCCGCAGTGTCACCTGCCTTTCTGGCTCAGGGTGTGTTGCAAGCAGCAGAATTTCTTCTAACATGTCTGCTGTGCTCTCGCCCGGTGAGTGGGAGAGATTCTCCTCACTCCGCCAAGCTGCAACAATCTAATCCAGAAGGAAAAGCGACTTCTCCAGATACACACGGGCTCTCGCATGTGTACACACACACACACACACACATACACACACACACAGTCATACTCTGTTCAGTGTTAATTTGGAGACAAAGAATAAAATTGCCACAATTGAAAAGACAGAGTTGCTGTAAAGTACAAATATGAGTAGAATAAAATCATGGGAAATTCTAGGGGAAGATCTCTGCTATCAAAATCATCTACATAATGATTTCACAACAAATGGAAGGCATTGAATGCCATTAAACTATACACTTTAAAGTGATTAAGATACTGAAGTTTGTTATGTTACCACAATAAAAATCTAGAATTATTTTTTTAAAAAAACATATAGGTATAAATAATCCAACACAAGTTCAAATTTTGTCGGTCAAATCATCCATCAGACATACCAAACAATGCAAGCTAGACCGCTATCTTTTGCCTTGATGGGAGCATTTCATGTGGGTGGGTCTTGCTGTGGAGATGATGATAAATATGACCTGGAGCTGGTCTGTCTGGGTCCAGCTACTAAGCCTACCATTTGCTACCTGGGAAACTCCCTGTATTTAAGTCTCCTTTTCCATAAAAAGAAATCAATGCTTGTGCCTAGACCATACACTTCTGGGGGCTAGGTAAAATGAGATGACACATGTAAAAGATCCAGAACAATGCCTGGGACATACTATGTGCTCAATAAATGCTATTTGCTATTACACTTATTGCCATGTCTACTTTAAGGTACACCTCAAAAGTGATTTCAAAGGATGCTGGCCCTCCCTGGTGGCGCAGTGGGTTAAAGCACAGCACTGAGTAGCTGAAACCACTTCCGCATGAGTTCGATTCCCGCCTACCCCGAAGGTGATCACATGGCGTGGCAGACCTCTCCTGACCCGCCCACTGCTCCCCTCAGCAGTGTACTTCGTCGATCTGCCTGTTCTATTCCCCACTCTGTCTCTGGTGAAGCCTCTCACCGCCCCTGAGCCTCTGGCCTCTACCCCAGTTCTATATGCATAAATAAATAAATCTTTTAAAAAAAAAGTGATTTCAAAGGATGTAAACCCCTGTATTTACAGCATAACATTTTCTTGGCATGCAAACAGCACACTTATCTTCTTCATACTTCTCAAATATAGACAATAAACAAATGAATGTGATTAATTTAAGACCACACAGGTCTTCTGCTGTGATAGTTTAATGTTTTCTTTTGTTGTTGTTGTTTAATGTTTTCTTTCTAATGTGTACCGGGGTGGTTTGTTGAGACATTTACTGCACTGGACTAGTTCCTTTTACTCACATATCCAGAGAGAAACCTTTTAGGCAAGACACAACAACATTTTCCAGGACAAAGGTAAATGCTGGAAAAGACACTAAAACAGAAGCTTTTCTTTTATGTTCTCCACAGGACTCTAAGCACAGGCTTGCAAAACCACTATTTAGGTCAACAGTAATCTGATTTATCACCAAATTTTTCTTTGCAATGGATAGAATTTTAAGAAATATTAGCTTATAATCTCAAGTTATTGGATAACATTCAAGTCAGAGACATAATCTTCCTGCCTGTGGATTTTTTAAATGAATCTTTTATCAAAGAATGCCAAACAATGCTTGAGAACTATGTTGTTTAATTCCAGAGGAGGTCCAAGAACATACCACACATGACAGTAGATAGGAAAAGTGAGGACTAGTGAGGAGAGGCCTATATTTAGCAGCATCCTGGAGGTACCATAAGAAACAGCAAGGACCTCCAGAACCAGGCACTACCTCCATTTTCTAGAATTTTCCAAGAGGAGGTTTATTAAACCTTTTCATTCCTCATTTGCTGTCGATATATGCAGTTGTCCTACATTTAAATCCAGAACCAAAATATGGCACATTATATGTTAACAACTCAACATTCCCCAAAAGGTTAATGGATTGCTGTGTTTGCTATAGAATGAACATGTCCGCCAAATCCCTATATTGAAACCTAATTCTCAATGTGATGTTATTAAAAGTGGGGCCTCCGGAGGATCAGGTCATAAGGATGTAGCCTTCCTTCACGGATGAGTTTAGTGCCCTTATGAAAGAAAGCCCAAGAGCTCCCTCTCCCCTTCCATCTTGAGAAGATACAGTGAGAAGATGAAAACACTGTGGATCTTTCTACATTATTTCTTTGAGCACTTTAGCACCGGACATACTTACCTATTCACAGAGTTCTCCCCTTACTAAGCTATGGCTTCAGGAGGACAAGGGTCATGGCTGGTGCACCAAGCCAGGCATGGTGAATACATGGGATGGGCACTTGGTAACTATTTCTAAGTGACATACTTGCCTCCACTCATTGTATTTCTTTGTTTTGTCCATATCCCTCCATATCCCTCATTCCAAGGCATTATAAAACTGTCATCTTTATTTCAATAGCAATAAAATAAATTACTGAAAAAACATTAGCTATTAGTTTATAAAACCAGAGTGTCTTTCTGGTGCAGCCATCAGTGCACATGGAATAGATAGGTCATTATTACCATGCATGTAAGAGAAGTGTTAGAAAAACCAATTCTGAGAAGGAATCACAGAGAGTTCATTTTGGGGAGGAAGGTACGGGAAGTGGAAATTCCAGAGAAAGCATGAGCTGACGGTTGCAAATCATTCAGGGAGAACGTGTCTCAAGAGACATATGGAAGGAAACAATCTCAATCCATTAGGAAGATTTCCAGATTCCTGTACTGTCTGGGACTCTAGCAAGTCACTTTGATTGTCTTTCTGTAAATTACATGTTTTCCTTGCAAGTATTTTCTGGAAGTATTGCAATATTATGAAACTACAAACCTTTAGTGTAAAAGCACCCTATAAACAGAGCATGCACTACTCAAAGGCGGTTAGCAACTGTGAGGAAAGAAGGATTAAAAGTAGTCAGGGAAGCCTATCTTCACCCTGTGCAGCTTCAGACAGACTTCCTCTTCTCTCCTGCTGCCTGGGCTGCCACTGGGTAATGGAACTGCAAAGCAGTGACTAGGGCCGGAGCCCTAAGTAAGCCTGCAAGACGCAGGGAGAGAGTGGAAGAGGCAGAACAGGGAGCACAGTAAGCAAAGCCATGGTGTTTCTTCCCTGTGAGGTCCTGCGCTCTATGGCCCCGGAACACAGCAGTGGGAAGGAACCAGATGACCCACCCAAGGAACTGCCGCCACCAAGATATCCCAGAATTTAGATAGCCCAGTTTTTCACTGAATCCTCAGAGCACTTTGAGGTGGGTACTTATATTATCCCCATTTTATGAATAAGAACAGTCGAAAGTCAGCTAGAATACTCGAGTAAACATGTCCAAGGTCATAATCTAGGAAGTGGCCAAGCAAGGGCTGAAGCCCAGATAGTTTGACTCCACCAACTATCGCCATAGTGGGGCTTAGTCACAAACACAGGCATGTTTGGGCCACTAACCTTTGTTTACCCTTGAGTGAATTCCAGGCAGGACATGTGAAAAAAATATTACTTCTCCCCTTTCACATATGTGCACATGCCAAAAATCTTCCAGGACAAATGAGATGTTGAAAACGCAAGGCATGCTGATGTCAAATCGCTCAACCCTCCAACTGGAAGTCACTTACAAAATATGAGATTATCCCCTAACTCCAAACAGAAGTAGTTCAAGGCTGGGTTGGCGCTTCCAGCAATAGCGAAGATGAACCACTCACTGCATTGACTCTAATGCTGGCAGGAGACATTTCCGAGGGATTGCATCTAATAAGGAGAGAACACCTGCAAAATATTTCTTTCCCATTTGGACTTTTTAGCTGAGCGGGGCTTACTGCAAACAAGGTAGTGCTGGGAAAACTCCCAATTTACCACGCTGGACTCACAAAAGGGCAAAAGTCTAAAAATTGATCTCTCTAAAATCAGTTGACAGCAAGTGTGGGGCAGAGGCAACTCTAGTTGATGGTGCAACCCTAGGAGCTTGAGTAAGGTCTGCAGGAATAGTCCTCTTCAGGAACAGAAGCAGGCTCTGCATGGAACTCACATTGAGCAACTTTTCCACCACCTCTTCTCAGATTGCAGAGCACAGCAGCCCAGGGAACAGCAGAGGGCTGTGCCACTTACCACAGCTGTGGTCATGGGAAATGCAAATCAGTGTGCACAAAATGAGAAAGAGATCACAACACGCAACATTCTTTTTT